CTCTCTCTCTCTCTCTCTCTCTCTCTCTCTCTCCTTTCTTTCTTTTTTTCCCAAATATATTTACTGACAATACCAGTAAATTACTATATATTTTATGTTTATAACAAAGTAAAGCAAATAAAAAACTTAAAACATAATATTCAATAAATTAATTGTTTAATACATGTATTCATTGTTCAGTACTTTAAACCCTATTTAATGACATTTCATGACATCTGGTCTTTGAAGACAAACAACGAGTATTGACTTTGAAGGAGGAATTGAATTTCATTGCATAGAAATCGATAATATAAATAAATATAAAATGAGCATGGGTGTCGTATACACAATATGAACGACACAAACAAACCCTGATGCAATTTGATATATCTATTCAGTTTAGTTACCAACCATGTCAATTTTGCATGTATAAATACTGTAATTTATAAACTACCGCATAAAGTGGCTTAAAAAGTATATTTTATACAAAATCAAAATAATAAGAGGGAAGAAGTTTTTAGATTAAATAATATTTATTAAAATATGAGTTCATTTGAAGCGAAATATTCTATAATTCAATAGAGAACTAAAAATTATATATAATTTTCGCCAAATAAGACATTAATGTGAAAAATTCATGAGAAAATCAAATCTATTGACAAAAATTTGTAGTTTTAAACAAATTGTAAGTCAAAAAACTGCCGAAAACTTGATTATAAGTTATAAAAAAGACATTATTTTCTACTGTAAAATCTGAGGTCAAACTGAGTGAAAGTTTAAGTATAAAAATGACATCTGGTCTTTGAAGACAAACAACGAGTATTGACTTTGAAGGAGGAATTGAATTTCATTGCATAGAAATCGATAATATAAATAAATATAAAATGAGCATGGGTGTCGTATACACAATATGAACGACACAAACAAACCCTGATGCAATTTGATATATCTATTCAGTTTAGTTACCAACCATGTCAATTTTGCATGTACTGTAATTTATAAACTACCGCATAAAGCGGCTTAAAAAGTATATTTTATACAAAATCAAAATAATAAGAGGGAAGAAGTTTTTAGACTAAATAATATTTATTAAAATATGAGTTCATTTGAAGCGAAATATTCTATAATTTAATAGAGAACTAAAAATTATATATAATTTTTGCCAAATAAGACATTAATGTGAAAACTTCATGAGGAAATCAAATCTATTGATGTTTTAAACATCAAAATTTGTTTAACATTCAGTTTTTTGACGGCTTTTGAACTAATATTCAATATTTTTTCTGTAATAAAAGATGACATTTTAGACTCCAGTTTGACTCACTTTCAAATTCATATTTTATGATATAAAATAGCAATTGAAACATAAAAAACTGGTTTTCGGGTCATAAAATGCTTAATCCCTACCAATACTATAAGTTAGACATACCATCGATAGGACAATACATAACAAAATGAATAAAGCCTTTGATGAAAGAGAAAAAGGAGAGGAAAAACAAGAACTCATATCATATCTGAAGAGTGTATTCCTTGCCATCAGTTGTCGACCACTCGTTGAGCCAATAATAAAAACAAAAATACCTCTTTGTTTGCAAAGTTTGTGCACTTTGTAATGCCTGTTGATTATAATTATCGGTACTTTTAATCTGTTATAATAGTTATAGTTTACCGGTATTTTGAAGCGGTTAATGCGCTCACAAAACCGCGGTTTTGAGACAATTGTAAAATACAATTATTATTTATACAATATATTGTTGAAAAAATTTTATTTTATTTCTCAGCGATCTTTTGACACAAAATGTTTGTCTTGTATTTTATTAAGTTATACGCGTTGTTTGCTTTGATCCAAAGCCAGGTATAGAGATATTAGTGTATTTTAATTTAGATGTGATTATAAAATAAGATTTGTATGAGATTTAAGTTATAATTTAATTTTTGTATATTTACAGGCAGTGGACGGAGAGGTGGATGTGTGGCCTCACCCACAATACGCCACTTCGAGCCCAGACTTTCTACAAATAGACTCAACAAAGTTTGTCTTCACTGATAAATCTGTGGACAAATGCGATCTTCTAAGTCATGCCATCACCAGAACTAAGGAAACGGCATTCATTCAGAGCTGTTCCAGAACTGGTGTCGACGGCTATAAACCATTTCATCAAAACGTCCGAACTCTTCAGCTCAACGCCAATTTCAAAGGAGATTTAAGTGGTATTGAAATCGATGTGAAGTCTTGCGAAAAGTTACCGCATCTGGAGATGAATGAGAAATACAATCTTGTAGTCGACGGAAGCGCCCGAACGGCTCGTCTCGAGTCCGACACCATTTGGGGTGCGATCAGAGGATTGGAGACATTCTCTCAATTGGTCTCAAATGTCGGACAAAATCAGTTCGTTATCAATGAAACAGATATCAGAGATTTCCCCCGATTTGCATACAGAGGTATATTAGTGGACACTTCCAGACACTATATACCAGTGAATGTCTTGTATGAAAATTTGAATGCAATGGCCTATAATAAACTCAATGTCTTTCACTGGCATATTGTTGACGAGCAGTCATTTCCATATGTGAGCAAAAGATTTCCCGATTTGAGTCTTAAGGGCGCCTATAATCCCGAAACACATGTCTATTCACCACAAGATGTCCAGAATGTGATTGAATACGGGAGACAACGAGGTATTAGAGTATTGGTTGAATTCGATACTC